TTTTTCAGCAAAAATAGTCTTGCTTCTGACACGTTTCGCATACAAGTCCTTGTAAAGACTCCGAGTGTTTGTCCTAAACCAGCGGGGGGAGGTCCAAAGATGACATATCTATTTTTAGACCTGGCGCGCAGCACTATATTGATAGATTCCATGGAACTTGAGATCTCTTCACTCACAGACAAATTTGCATGTTCCCTTTTGAAATATGATCCACATGCCTATTTTCACACATGCGAAAATATTTAGCGATTTTTATCTTTCATCTTGATTTTTGAGTTAAAACGTAACGTGCACCTATCGCTTTTTTCTCCAGAAATGAGTTCTTTAATTAGTCTTCTTTCACTGGAGCTTGTTTTTTGGAAAAGATGATTTTTAAAATTTACTCCGCATTGTGTTTACCTTCTTGGTTTCTCCAAAATTTTGACTTTTCGTAGGCACGTGTTACACGTATTTAAGTGTCAATGGGTTAACATTAAAATGTGACAGCTCTTTGGATGGATGGGGATCTGTCCTAACAGGGGGATCTCATATGACTAGCCCTTTAACTACTAATGGGAGGTGGTCCCAAAGTGAAAGGGAACATCACATCAATTACTTAGAAATAAAGGCAATCCTTTTAGGACTGCAATCTCTGTGCACAAAGTACAAAAACTGCACTGTTTCAGTACTGTCTGATAACCAGACAGCTGTCACATACATAAGAAACATGGGGGGGTACACACTCTAGGGAGTGCAATCAAATCACCAGAGATGTAATTCTGTGGTGTAAAGAAAGGGATCTGTCACTTATTATATCCCACGTTCCTGGCAAACTTAATGCGGAAGCTGATACTGCAAGTAGACACAATTTCCATGATGACACAGAGTGGTCACTTGATAAGTGTATATTTGATAGCCTAGACATGTGGAGCAATCCTGATGTTGACATGTTTGCCACTAGGTAGAATGCAAAACTTCCATGTTATGTTGCATGGAAGCCAGACCCTGGGGCAATTGCCATTGATGCCTTCACAACAAATTTGTCTGGGTACACTTTGATATACTGTTTTCCTCCTTTTAAGCGTCATTGGAAGAGTTCTACAAAAGATTGCTCAGAGCCATGTTACAGCCATACTTGTACTCCCAGATTGGCCAACTCAGTTTTGGTATCCATTGTTACAGAAAATGCTGCTATCAGCACCACTCATGAAACAGTTGGAGAAGACATCTCTGACACTGCCTCACAACAAAACCAAAGCACATCCACTACATCCAAAACTCAGACAGATTGGTTGTCTTGTGTCAAGCAAACCCTTGTAAATCAGGGTATAGTAGGAGAACCCTTAAAAATCATCATTGACCCGTGGTCTACTAGCACACAGAAAAAATATCAGTCAGCCATTGGTTCCTGAATAAATTTGTGCAAAGCTAACAATGTCAAGGTCATGACACCATCTTTGTCACAATTACTTGAGTTTATGACTCTTCTATCAACAAGACTGGGATATAGCACAATGGGTACATTACGAAGTACTTTGTCCTCCTTTATCTCTATTGATGGCACCAAAGCGGGGGAACACCCTCTTGTCTCTCGATTTATTACTGGTATTTTCAACGGGAAACCATGTTTTCCCAGATACGTGGAAACCGGGGATCCACAATTCGTTCTAGATTATCTGTGTTCCTATCCGGATGCAAAGAATATGTCATTGAAACAACCAACATTAAAATTGACAATGCTTATGGCTTTGTTTAGTGCACAAAGGACTCAGACTCTCCAGTTGTTATCTACTGAATATATGGTCAGAAAATCTGATGAGTTTACATTTAAAGTTATGTCATTGTTAAAACAGTCAAGTGCTAGTGGGGAAAAGCAGAGACATCTTGCACCAATTTTTTTTTAAGAAATATACAGGTGGCAAGAGACTGTGTCTATATTATGTTGGAAGAGTACTTAAACAGAACCTCCCCTCATAGAGGTTCATGTTCACAGTTACTGTTATGTTACTCAAAGCCATTTGGACCAGCATTGAAAGATGCTATTCGTAGGTGGCTGAAAGAGGTGATGACACAATCAGGCATTGACACTACCTTGTTTAAGCTGCACTCTACCAGAAGTGCAAGCACCTCAAAAGCAATGTCAAACAATGTACCCATTAATGACATTTTGCAGACTGCTGGTTGGCAATCAAGTTCAACATTTGCTAAGTTTTATAACAAACCTCTTGTACACACCAATTGTTTCAGTGAAGGTGTATTATACAAAACCTGAACTTTAATAAATGTGCAGTTTGTTGTTTGCATTACCCTACTGCATATATGATTTTGGGGCCTTAGACGGCTCTAAAGTCTCACATAATCTCTGACTGTATGCAAATGCAAGGTAGAATTGATTAATTAAACGAGACTTACCTGTAAGTTGAAGTTTGATTGAGATTCTACGGAAGCATTTACAGAAAGGAGGAGATCACATCCCACCCTTCCCTCCCTCACATATACATTCTGTTGGGAGTCTTAACACCCCCAAAATCGGCTTTAAAGACTGAGCTTGTGGTCACACGACTTGCAATCTCACGTGATCTCCTCCTTTCTGCAAATGCTTCGGTAGAATCTCAATCAAACTTCAACTTACAGATAAGTCTCGTTTGATTATTCAAATTGAGGGGATCACACTTGCATGGCCCACCGCGAATTGAGTTCTGGACTACGCTCAAGGAGCCTGGGATATGATCCAGTCTTCCGCAGATGAAGTGAGTTCAACATGGTGGACGAGTTGCTCTTTACTGACTTAGTGTTATAGAACGTTCACACACATTATTAGGATTTTGCTTGTTTTGTTATATTTCGCATGATTAGCGCCGCACTAAGTGAGTTATTGGTTCTTCACCACTAATAGAGACCGGTAGAATGTAACCGGAAATATTGACAAAGAATGCGTAGAACGATCGACAAACAATGATGTAATTAACTAGATAATTGCTAGTGAAATCGCGTGTTAAGATTAACGATAATAAGATTTGTCTAACAGACCCATGCAACAGGAATTAGTGGGATAAACCGATTAGGAAATTAATAGTCAATTAAGCCCTATCCGACCACACCGGACTTACATATCTGGGTGTGGATATCTGTAGCCAATAAAAGTGGCACTTGTGATCCTAAGCTAGTAAGATCGTAGAGCAGAACGTGAATGTTGTGAGCTGAAGAATAAAAGCCAACTTAAAAGAGAGTATACAGTCCTCGGTTGTTGAACCAGCGTGTGCGGAGAGCAAATTCCGCGAAACTTAGAAACTCATTGCGTGATGTGTCGAGGCAGCTACAATCCTACTTGTCTCATGAATTGCTTGAGGGTACAGTATATCGGCTGGAACAAATCTGCCGTTACGTTCTTGTTCTTGCAGGAACCAATCCAAACTTGAACGATTTGTTTGTGATTATCAGTCCCGCCTTGCAACCTGCGAAAATCTTCTTTATTCATCTGGTTATAATACACCAGTACACTTAAGTGGGCGCCCAGAAAGACCAAAATTTGAAATAAATTGAGACCAGCTGGAGTACTTCCTCTGTTATGATCTTGGTGTTCAAGATATCGCAGATGCCCTCAGTATGTCAAAGAGGAACCCAGAGGACTTCAGTCAATCCCAGGCTCCCTGAGCGTAGTCCAGAATTCAATTCGCGGTGGTCCATCCAAGTGTGATCCATTCACTTTGTACGAGATCCATTCAATTTGGTAAGTCGCCATTCCATTTGCATGTGATCCATTCAATTTGGTAAATCATCATTCAATTTGATAGTATGCCACTCAATTTATGACGAGCCGTTCAGTTTGGTGAGCCATTCAATTTAAACGTGATCCATTTTCTTGTCCACCCATACCCAAGCAGTTTGCCTAGGCCCTGCTCTTCCAACTAGTAGTGCCCCACTCTTTTCCGTGCCGGTAGTGCTAATTTTGACATCATCCATCCGCCAAATCTGTTCACTAGCAACATTTTTCCATGCGGAAATGGCGTACGTCAGGTGTATGCTGGCGTTGACATTGTTTACTCTAATGTGTAAAACACGAACATCAAGACCGACTCACCTTGAAGCTGGGTCCTGTGGCACTACAGGTACAAACCTTGATTTAACACGACTCAAACTGCTTTCCGTGATGCAGATTCGAGTTTTATGTCTTGATCCTCCAGTGGTCGCTGGTACGATACATTCATTTATTTTCGTCACAATGGGCAGTTCATCAACTGAATTATTCAATGCGAAGGTCGTACTGAGCGTGGCAATCTCTGTATTCGTCGACTGTAGCCAAAGAGTACTCCTGACTGTAATTGAACGGAAAGGGTCCTGTAGCACTAGAGATTTAATTACAAAACCTTTCACCACTCAAACTGCTTCATGGGCATGTGATGAGAGTGAAGATCCAGCTTCATCTTTCATACCTTTTATTTTTTGGTGTATTGGTATTTTTACATTGCTCTTTGTTATAAGATTCATTTACTTCAAACTGATTACGTCAATTGCATTCGCCGATCGTAGCCGTAGAGTCTGTGGCCGCGGAGTCCGTGGTCGCGGTGTGGTTATGGCTATTTCCCGAATTTGTGGTTCAACCACAACTAGCAATGTGTATTGCAGGGATGTCGATAACAACGGAAACAGCGATGGCGAGCCCTTCCAGCTAAATAAGTTGGAGAACAGAACCTCTTGGACAAATGAAGAGGTAACAAATGAAAGACTCCAAGTTGGATCTGTTGTGAGGTATCAGCAATATGTACTGCCCTCTCTGACTGCCTCCAAACAGTTCGTATATGAAAGTATCGGTGGTAAGCAACAGGTGAGACTAGCTTTAACTACGGTATGTTAATTATAATGATCAATCATTAAGACGTTCCTCACGATTAATTAGGCCTGATGAGTGGCCTGTCCAGCAGTTGCCAGCAAATTTTTGAGCAATTTAAAATTACTGTGGCCTGTGGGTAATTACTAAAAGAAGGAATGACCTAAAACCACCTACAACCATCTTAAACCACCCACAACCACCTTCAGAATACTATGTTGTGGCATGTCTCACATGTCATGACCAGGGAAAAACACCAAGAGAATTTTTTACTTGTAGTTACCAAAACAAGGAATGACCTACAATGAGCTACTGTAAGATCCCTGCAATGAAGTAAATGAAGAATTCAGAAAAAAGGCAAAAAAAAAAAAAAAACAGGACACATGTGCATTAACGTAACATGTTTGCTTTTTGTCTGCTGAATAACAGGCCAAATGATGACAGAATTTCTAGCTTGGTGATAAATTTACAGTGTATTATAATAAGACATGTCTAATGAGGATAAGGATTAAAAAAAATGCAAAAAACCTTTGGCTTAAGATGTCTTTGAGGGTCTTATATAACAAGCCTCCCATAATTTTACACTATCATGAGGCTATGAGTCGTATCTGGCCTGTCAACACCTTTTACTCATTGGTATTTTCATATCAAAACCATTAATAAGGTCACGTATCACAGTGCCGGGAGACTATGGGATGTATTTGGCCTGCCAACACCTTTAACTCATTGATATTTTTAGACAGCAAAACTAAAAGGTCATCACACTATCATCGGGCTAGAAAGTCATGCAAGCCACACCACAATATTTTGTAACACTCACAATAGCTCCCTGTAGGTCATTGTAGCTCATTGTAGGTCATTGTAAATCATTGTGGATAATTTTAGGTCATTCCTTGTTCCCACGGTAGCTCATTGTAGGTCATTGTAGATCATTCCTTGTTTTAGTAACTACATGTAAAAAATTCTCTTGGTGTTTTTCCTTGGTCATGACATGCGAGACATGCAACAACATTTCCGGTGTGCATTTTAATTGTCACAAATTGTCACACAATAGTATTCTGAAAGTAAGTTGTAGGTGGTTTTAGATGGTAGGAGGTGGTGGTTGTGGGTGGTTGTAGGTGGTGGTTGTGGGTGGTTGTAGGTGGTTTAGATGGTTGTAGGTGGCTTTAGGTCATTCTTTCTTTTAGTAATTATGGTGGCCTGTGAGTGTTATTCTAAATGAATGATAAAAGTGAACTTTGGTGTACATGTTGTAGTTCAATTTTATCCCTGGTTCAAATTTTATTTTCCTTTATTTCAAACTCATTATCATACATTAACATGACCGAGAACAAAGGAAAATGAAATTTGAACCATTAGTATAAAATTGAACTACAACATACACAACTACAGATTCTAAGTTCCAATTGCAAATCCAAAGTTTGTACTGATTACGATTCCTGCTTTAATAAACTAACACAGAGGTGGAATCTCAAAGAGTTTAATAACACTCTGTTAAAATGCTCTCAGCTAAATACAACCCAAGTATCTCTCTCAAAGCACATCTTATTTTCAGGATTTTGCTGTGGACTAGGTCCAAGTAATTATACCTTAGAAAAAGAAGCCATCCCTATCAGGATTTGATCTGAGATCACTAGAATTATATATCAGCTGATGGTTGCCCCTCAGAAATTTGATGTTCAAATTTGTTCCAAACAAATATGCTACTTTTTAAGAACATCAAATTTCCAAGGGGCAGCTATCAGTCTTTATTGTTCACCACTAAATTTTCTTCTACACACCCGTTGAAAAATAGTCAAAACTCACCAATTGCAGATCAATCAAATATTTTATTCATGCATACAGCCAGCAGTCACAAATGTTATTAATTCGCAACTGTACATTGGCTAAATAATACATTATACCTGTCAGAATTTAAAAGGTACTGTTTTTCTGATCTGCCTGACTTGGTGGCCGTCAAACCATTCAAAAGTTTTGGGTGTTACAAAAACAAAGACCTAAGACCTAAGACCTGGTCTTCGTTTTCATGGTACTAAAAGGAAGACCCTGTAAACAGAAAACCGTCGAAATTACAAGTTAAACATACATTAAACAGCAACAACGCTTAGTAATAATTGATACACCACGCTTCGTGGGTTTCTTCCCATTATTATACAGCCAGTACTACTGGCCCGTCTTGTCTGTTCTGTTTCGCTATGCGAGCCAATTTGGTGTTGATATTCTCGAGGGTTTCCTCAGGTGAACTTACCACACATATTATTCTTGGAACAGCAGGCAGAATTCGAACGCTAGCTGCCTTTGATTTATAGTAAGCATATTGCATGAAAGAATAACAAAGAACGCATTCTGTACAGGAAATGACTCTTGGGTTCTGTCAACAAATAATCTATGTCTACTATATTTTGTAGCTTAAATAGATTCTGACGGTCGTTAAGCCTTCTCTGTTGGAAAATTCTCATTAAAAAGTAAGCAATTCTTTTGGCTAATGCAGACTCTTCGTTTTCGTAGTACGAAAACAAAGACCCTTCATTAAAAGTAGAAAATTATTTGAAACTACGATTGTAGAGGTACCCAGAGCACTAGTAATTGTTATTTCAGCTTTATAGTTAGCATTGGTTTTATAGTTAGCATTGGTTTTATAGTTAGCATTGCATGACAGAATAACAATGAACGCATTCTGTACAGGAAATGACTCTGGATTCTGCCAATAAATAATCTCTTTCTACTGTATTTCGTAGCGTAAATAGATTCCGACCATCGCCAAGCCTTCTCTACTGGAAAATTCTCGTTAGAAAGCAATTCTTTTGGCTAATGCAGGGTCTTCGTTTTTGTAGTACGAAAACGAAGACCCTTTATTAAAAGCCTAAATAAAGCGTGCTTAACCTTAGTCAGAGGCCCTAAAATATTCTGATCACTCCTTTGATGGGGATGTCTGTCCAAACTTGGACTCATTGCATAGAAAAACAAATCCAAGAGCCGAAAGCAGTGGTGGCTGAAGAAAGAACAATAAAAACCACACTCAAACTGTCTTAACATATCAAAAGCTTAAATAACACTTACTAGTGCTCAGTCAGTACGTCTACAATTGTACTTTCAAAGGATTTTCTGCTTTTAATAAAGGGTCTTTGTTTTCGTAGTATGAAAACGAAGACCCTGCAATAGCCAAAAGAATTGCTTACTTTTTAACGAGAATTTTCCAGCAGAAAATCTATTTTAGCTACGAAATACAGTAGACATAGATTATTTATTGACAGAACCCAAGAGTCATTTTCTGTACAGAAGGCATTCTTTGTTATTCTGTCACGCAATGCTAACTATAAATCAAAGGCAGCTAGCGTTCGAATTCTGCCTGCTGTTCCAGAGTAATATGTGTGGTAAGTATACCTGAGGAAACCCTTGAGGATATCAACACCCAATTGGCTCGCATAGCAAAACAGAACAGACAAGATGAGCCAGTAGTACTGGCAGTATAGTAATGGCAGTCGTTTTCGCAGTACGAAAACGAAGACCGGGTCTTAGGTCTTTGTTTTCAAGGGTCTTCGTTTTTGAGGGTCTTCATTTTCGTAACACCCAAAATTTTTCACAGAGCAGTACTATCCATCCGGGTTTTTTCTGCGGACGGGCACTATGGGCTGTTAGTGTCTCTTCAAAGACCAACACTATCACATCATGTGATCAATTTAAACCAATAAGAATCTGAGAAAATTTAGTGATGAACTATGGACAGGACATAGGACAGGGTTTGGGCATGTAGAATCAGGTACTGTGACGGTGGATCCAACATTTTTGTGTGTGTTTCAAAAGAGTACAACCAAACAAAAGACTTGAAAACCTAAACACAATGGCTGTTGCATGTACATGTATGGCAATTAATTGTTTCCTCATAGACACAGGAATTTACGGGTGATTCATTACGAAAAGAAGTGAACATTTTCAAAAGTGACAAAGTTCTAGTTTTAAAGGAAGGAGAGGGCCCTGAGAATGAAGTTGCAGAAGTTCCACCAAGGTTTTTTTATGTATAGATAGAAAACATCTAACATGCAGTACTAGATACATGACTTTTGTTTCCTTGAAAGGACATAACCAACTTGCAATTTGGTCTTCTTCAAAATCGTGAAAGTGTTTATAGAGGACTTAAAAAGGCACATGGATACATCAACCCAAAGGTAACTGATTATAGGCTGTAACTTAAAGGAAATTTTCAAACAAAACACTTGTTTCTGTCGCATGAAGTTATTAGATAAGCAGCATTGATGATGATGATGACTTTATTGAAACTCGGATGAAAATGAGGCTTGTTAGGCCTCTAGCAATAGAGATGCTAATATACCAAGAAAAATATATGAATATAAATTTCAGAGTTTAAGAATAATATAAGC